TGTTAAGAGTTGTAAATGATATCTTGTTGGTATGTGATACTTATATAGTTCTGGTTCTGCTTGACCTAACTACTGCCTTTGACACTGCTGTCAACAATATCCTAATATGACATCTAAATCTTTTATTACACATTCAGCACTGTGATCTTGACTGGATTAGAAGCTTTCACCCGTTTATCATGTGGAGTCCCACAGGGCTCAGTTTCTGGACTCTTCTCAAGGCTCTTTTCATTGCATTAATTGTCTCTAGGCTCTTTTTCAGGCAAATATTGAATTCCTTTCCATTTGTAGGCTAATGAATTTCAGATCTTTCCGCCCCTTAAGCATTGGTACGGTTTCCCGTTGAGGGCCCTGTTTAGAAGAAATTAAGGCTTTTATGACAGTGTGTTCCTGCCACTATGCCTCCCAGTGATCAGACGCCCTGGATACTTGACAAGGAGGATTTTCCTTTGGCTGCCTGATCAGCATGCTTGTCTTTCAGATGGGAATCTAGGGATTGAATCATGCCCATGTCTTCTTTTGCATACCTCATTCTCCTAACTTTTTCTAAATTTTAACCATTAGAAAGCTGAAGTATTAGTTTTTTGACCAAGTCACTCCTTTCGCCATAGTATTGTGAATTTGTGAACCTTGACTGCATATTTGAAAACAGCTGTAACACATTTGGGGTTTAATTTGAACATGATTTTAAATTTGAGGTCAGATTAGAACAGTCGTTAAATCATGTCTTAAGAATTACTTAAATCTGGGCAAACGCTGTACAATTCTCCAGTTTTGCGAGAATTTTTCGATTTGGCCGACTTTCAGCCTCATCGTGTGTCGTGTAGTATACAGGGGGGAATGACGGGGCGATCAGCCTCTCACGACCACCTCGTAAGGTCAGGAGACAGTCAAATATGTTTGAGATTCAGTCTTCCGCCAAAAGATCGCATTAGAGCATCAGTGTGAGAACATGCATCGTGAGCTGTGAACTTTTAAACCCTGTGGTTTGGTCGTACACTTTGAGCTGTAGCAACGATTGAAAACATTGCACAGTGTAGGCCCGGCTTAAGTCGGCAAGCAAAACTTAAATCCTTTCTGTCAAGACCCTTCTTTGAAAGAGTGATTCATGCTTTTATTGCTGCCTGGATAAAGGACTTTATGAGTCATGCTCTGTTATTTGTTGCTGGTTCAAATCACTGCCGTGTATCTTTTAACAGATACTACAGAAACAGAGCATATTACCCCTGTTCTGGCCCCAATCCATTGGCTCCCCATACATTTCAGAGTTCGTCTTTCTTCTCAAAGGTTTTTGAATGACATTGCTCCACTGTACCTCTTTGAGATTCTTAATTCCTACTCAGCATCTCTGCCCCTCAGGTCAGCTGACAAGCAGGTCATGAGGTTTAACAGGAAGCTCAGAGGGAGCTGAGCTTTTTTTGTTGTTGCACCTTAACTATGGAACAACCTGCCCCTACACATATGAAAGACTCCTTCATTGCCTAACTTTAAAAGCCACAAATATTCTTTTGCTTTTACGAGTAGTGAGCCTTAGCTTTTGACCTTGTTTGTTTTAAATTGGTTTTATTGGTTCTTTTAAAGGTTTTTATAGATTATATTGTTGTTTTTTTTCTGTCAGACTGTTTTTTTTTTCTTGTAGTTTGTAGCTGTGTGCAGCACTTTATTTCAGACATAGGCTGTTTTTAAGAGCTTTATAAATCAAGTGGTACGGTATGGTTTAGAGTGGGTATAGAAGACGGATGGACCTGTCATACAATTCTTATCAAAATTTTGCACTAATTTGTTTTTGTTTCTTTTCTTTCCTTTCGACTCAATTTGCTCAGATTAACTTTGTTGCTGCACCAGCTACTTTATTGTCAGTGAATTGTACTAATATTTATATGAACAGCTAGGAAAGATATTTTAAATCCTTGCCTCTATAATTGAGCCATAGATCCAGCGACCTTAAAGCAAAAGAGTGTTTAGTCTCATTGCTGTCAGTGGCAGTAAATCCTGTGACTGAGATCTGAAGGCCCTTTGAGGGAGAAAGTCAGACAGAGACTAATCCCGCTTAGAAATGCCATCTTTAGGTTTTTACTTGATTGTCTTGTGGTCTGACTGACTAGAAGAGACAGTTAGATAAGACAGAACAGCTGTATTTATACTGAGGTTAAAGTGTATTCTAAAAACTGGCTGCCTGGGTTAGGTTTAGAGGGTGGGGGCTTATTATGAGCTGTTCTAGACCATTGAATGCAGTGAAACCTCGTTTTTTCGTCAGGGTTAATTTGCAAAACCCGTGAT